TATTTATACAGATCAAAGAAACGTCTACAATATTTCTGAAAATGACATGAATTTATTGGTCCACGCATTAGTACAGCTAGTTGCATTCTTGCGTTCATTTTTAAAGAGGATTGGTTGAGTCAATCATTGCTCTCATACATAGTCAAAGCACATGGCACTGTCTCGATGCGGTCATTGGATTTTTTTTTAGTTGACCTAATCCTTCCAGCCGAACTAGGCCCTGGGGTTTACTCAGCCTCTAAAAGAAATGAGTACTAGGAATTAATTAAATAATTTTCCTAGGGAGCAAAGCGCGGCAGGCGCGTAAGGCTGGCAACCTTACCGCCATCTTTGAGCCGATTGTCTAGATAATGTGGGAGCCTCGACGTCTCACAACCCTATGGGCCTTCATGGCCTGGTACAGGGATAGCTTTACTTTTTTTACTTACTTTTTTTAATGTTAATTTTTATCAAATAAAGGACGAAGTTATTTCTGTAAAGGGCAAGAGTCTCGAGGGAATATAACTAGTTACAAAGTAGGATTCTGAAATTAAGCAAAGTAGCAGGCAATGAGCAGAGAGATGTAACAGTTTACTCACAATTGCAAAAGTAAAGGAAAAAATTTTCGTGTGCTTAACTAATTAAGCGCTATGCCATGAAGGTGTATGGGGGAGATGGTGTATACATCCATATTTGATTGACCTCGTCACTAGTTGGAGGTGAGTTGTGAGCTTCACGGCCCGGCTGCTTTACCCCGGGAAAGTGCCCCTCGTACCCATTGGATGGGAGATTGGGTGGGCTCCAGAGCCGGTTTGAACGACGTGGAGAAGGAAAAATTCTTGACTTTATTGGGACTCGAACTCTGACCCCTAGGTCGTCCAGCCAGTAGCTACACCGACTNATGGTGTATACATCCATATTTGATTGACCTCGTCACTAGTTGGAGGTGAGTTGTGAGCTTCACGGCCCGGCTGCTTTACCCCGGGAAAGTGCCCCTCGTACCCATTGGATGGGAGATTGGGTGGGCTCCAGAGCCGGTTTGAACGACGTGGAGAAGGAAATATTCTTGACTCTATTGGCCCTCGAACTCTGACCCCTAGGTCGTCCAGCCAGTAGCTACACCGACTGCGCTATCCCAGCTCCTATGATAGGAAGGAGTCAGTACCATAAAGGCTTGGCGCCAAGACAAACTGATTTACCACCAAACCGTCAGCCGTAAAGTGACTCTGACTCCGAGTATGTGATCTACGGGTGGCAGATATTTGTTTGACGCTAGTAACATCAAAGCCAAGGTTGGGTTATCCGAAATGTCCTCAGCAGGAGTTGCTAATTGTAAACGACAGAGCCTTCCTCTCGTCAGAGAGGACGCCCCAAGTGAACAAACCAACAACTGTCTAACAATAATAAAAATCTGGTCTTGGGCCCTAGATGCGGCTTAACATGAAGACAGACTGGCCGACTGACCTTCGGTCGCAACGTAACTTTCACTTTGTCTTCGACAGTTAGTATAGTGTTGGTTGGTGAGTTAGTCAGTTAGTTAGAAGACTGCTACAGTTCAGTCGTGGTGTTCCGTTGCTGTGACAAGCTGGTAGCTGAGACCGGGGACCGTTCAGAAACTCAGAGGAAGTCGAACGTCCGCCACTGAAAGCAGCTACCAAGCAACGGCTAGTGAAGACGTCACTGTGGACACTAGCGTTTGTGTGGGTGTGTGTGTGTGTGTAACTGTGAGCTGTGAAGTGTAGTCACGAGCTGTGTGCCAAAGAGTTAAATAAATCCGATCATCATTCAAACCCCCGTCTATAGTCACTCATACGCGTGACAATATTTATTAAATTCCTGTTAACACAACACTATTTCCAGCAGGTAGAGTTGCTGCTTAGGATGATACGTTTCGGCACATGTGTGCCTCCTACTGGTTTGGGTTTTAGTTTCAATTATTCTCTCATGTACTTAGAGCACATTTTCCACGTAAACATGTCGTACTAGGCAGCAACTTCAGCTGCTGGAAAGAGTGCTGTCTTGAGTGAAATATTCATTCATAAATTCATCAATGGCTCTACATCCCTCTTGTTGGATCCTGGCCTCTTCTCCAGTTTCGTTATATTTTCTTGACAGAAATACTGTAAATAATATCTACAATAATTTCCACAACATGGTACAACAAAATATGAGTCAAAATACAAAATGCTGCGGTGGCGATTGATGCCGTGTGGCTTTTCTTAAAGGAGTTACTAATGCCGTTTAACATGCTTTCCGAGTCCGAGAAAATCATGAAGTTTTGCTCTGAGTCTATTTTTTAATTATTTCTAGTGCTTCCGCCGTGAATGTGGACGCTGTTTTAGATATCCTGAATTTCATGCTATGACCATATTTTATATATATCGATGCGAATCTTACGAATGGTTTGTCCTCCATTCTTGAGCTGTCCGTGGCGAAACATTTTCTGGTTCTCATTCTTTCTTGGAAAATCTTGTTGAATTCCTTGTTGTGATCTTCTGCTTCCTTTATTTGTCTTCCCTCATCGAAAGATACCCTGGCTTCGTAGAAGAGGCTTTCGTGCCACGTATGTGTAGTCGAAGGCCAGGGGACAGTTCCCTGATTGGATTAAATGACCGAGGGTGGTTACCTCTTTGATTTATTCGGTGATCAGTGGTTGTTCATTTTCTCCTCTCCCTGGATTTTCAACTAGAGATGATAATTCTTCTAGCAGCTGGATCGTTGGATGATTGCTTGACACCTGGACACATAGTTCCTTCGCAACTGTTCGAATCTACTAAAAACTGGGATTTCTTTGGCTTCTGCTAACATTACACTGGTAGGGTGCTAGTCCTGTAGCCCAGTGCTCCGCGAATTACCCTGAATTTTATCTTCTCTAGCTTCTGTGCTTGTTTCTTCTTAAGTTTATGGAACAGAAATGCTCCATATTCCATCCTCAACCTTATAAGTGCCTTAGAGTCTCACTAAGATTACGGGGTCCGCTCCCCATCAAGTGTGCGTCACACAGTTCACGATTTTCATCGGGTTTCCACATTTCCTAACTATTGCGTTTATTTCGTCCTCCCAGTCTAGATTAGATTTTAATTGCAGACCTAAAAATTCAACTGATTTGACCGAAGAAATCTTTTTCCCTTGTACCGTGATCTCCCACTCTCCATCAGCTGTCCCTCTTTTTTTTTATCGAAGATAAGCAGTTGGCATTTTTAATACTATTTCCAAGCCACTCTCCTTCAAATAAAGTTAAATATTTTGTATGCTCTTTTCCACTTCCGATACGCCTATTCTGCTACCTCTGTTAACTGAATAAAGTGCTACAACGTCTGCGTCTTAGAGGAGTTTACAGTTTTGGTTGATTTTGGCTTTCAGTCCTGCCGTATCATTGGAATATAAGGTTGGACTCAGAACATTACCCTGTGGTAAGCCTTTGTATGTCCAGTATTTGAGAACTAGCCCTCTATAGTTAGCCTTAGTTCCCTCGCGGAAAACAGGTTAAAGATGAAAGCTAACAGGTTTCCCGAGAAGCCTACTACCTTGAGCCTATCCATCAAAGTGCCGCAGTGGACGTTGTCGTATGCGCTTTTAATGTCAAGGAATAGGGCCGGTACCGTGTTCCGTTCTTCAAACGCTTTTATTACTTCAGTCGTTAGTATTGCTGGGTTGTCTGTGCAACCCTTGTTTCGCTGAAATCCATATTGTGTTACTGAGAACTTCTGATTGTTTTCTAGCCACCAGGAGATGAGCATTTTTATCATTCGTTGTTATATCTTACACACGCATGATGCCATGGATATACAGACTATACAAAAGCGTTTGACCTCATCACACAGAACCATGCTCATCGAGAAGCTGGAGGAGAGAATTGGCAAGAACTACACCACAAAACATCTCAGAAATATATTGGGAAAAATTCCGTCCAAATTGACGACATGATAGCCAAATCACAACCTTTACAACACACGAACGGGGTACTCCAAGGAGGACCCCCTCAGCCCGCAACACAGAATAAGAAAAATGTCAAGTTCTATGCATACGCGGAAGACATTGTGCTCGTAGCCAAATCAGTAGAAAGCCTCCAGACAGCCTTCATCAATGTCACAGAATGGGCCGACAAGAACGAACTGCTTCTGAACAGAACAAAAACCGTCATGATGACGTTCAGAAAGGGAGGAAGACGAGCTATTACAGACAGAATTCTCTATGTGGAAGAGCCTCTGGAACTCGTAACCGAATTTAAGTATCTGGGGATCATCTTTCAAATGAATGGAAGAAACTTCACAAACCATATCAGAGAAAGAGCAGCATCTGCAATAGTTGCTTCGCACGGAATAAAGAAATCTCAGCCGATTATGAATGCCGACTGCTATGAAGCTTTTCGACCTACAAATTTTGCCAATCTTGACGTACGGCATAGAAATTATCTAGAACCACCTCACCAAAAGGAACCTTACAGACGTACAAAGAGTCAAATTAACCTTTTTTAAACGATCCATGTGCCTCTCGAAATACAAACCGTCCCGCCCGTCCCGCCTGACATACGTACTGGCCAGGGAAACATATGCCATCGAAGATATACGTCAAAAACGGCTGCTGCCTATCGGCCTATGATGACCTTCTACAGGAGCTAAATGCTAACAGGAGGGAAATATGGTCGGAGTCCTACTGCACCGACGCCATGGGTAACACCGAATGGATTCGTGCAAACTACACCCTTAGACATCTGATGACGCGATCTGCTGTCCATGGCTTTCACCACAGGATATGCATTATGCAAAATTACCACGTTAGAGAACAATGTGTATGCAAATTGTGTGGAAACAAGTGTGAACGATACCTTGTGCTAGCGTGTGCCAAAAGACCCACATCGTTAACTCAATTCTGTAAAGACTAAACTTACACATTGTGCGCTATCATTATTATTATTATTATGTAGAAAGTCAAATAGGAAGGTCAAATAAAATTCAGCAGAAAACAAAAATTAATTATTGTATTTTAACACCACCATCTTCTAAATATGATTCTACTACCGCTCTCAACTATCATTACACCAGTACAGTGTCACTAGTTGTTTTTTGGTAACGAACATTAACAATCATAGTTGACTAGCTTGTGTATTCACGCCCTCACTCTTCGAATTCCAGAAACCGAATACCATATTCCTATTCCTATATTTCATGATCCGTGTTCGTAACGTTGTGCTCTCTGTCGTCGTTGAAAGGAACCAATTGATGCTGTAACGTGAAATTGGAGGTTATAGGTAGGTGTTTGAACAAGTATATTCATATGTCTGTATTCATTTACTTAATAAAGAAATATATCATTAAAACAGTTGTGCGGATTATTTCAGGTCGTTACCTTTGGGGCTTTGCATTTTTACTTCGGAGAATTTGATTGATGTTAAAGTTAATTATCAAAATTTTGGCCTGGAGTGCCTTTCACGTCTAAGAGAGCAAAAATTATTAATATCGAGTAAAACACAGTTCGTTAGGCGAACAGACATTAGCAGATTGATGTAATTTACGTTTATCGATCACGCGTGTTTCATATCCTTACACTAAAGGTATTACGAATTTTAGGTACACGTTAAGCCGGGGATTTGCGCCCCCTCTCCAAATCTTATTTCTCAAGCGGCCGTAGTTACCGGATTTGGTACTGTCTTAATTGTGGTCTTAATGATATTTATGTGGGCGATCCGTTCGAGTACTTTTCAACAGAATATTAATTTATGCAACTGTTAGCCCCTCTCCTGGAATTTTTTTTTTCAAGTTTGTCTTCTGTGCATACTTCATTAGATAAACAGAAAAGGTATAAATGTTAATGCAGCATACATTCTATAAAACATGTGCTCATTTGAAGGATTTTAGGTTTTTGAAGCGGTGGTTATGGAGAGTTCTGCCTTCTGGGATGTGATGTCATGTAGCTGAATGTCGGCCAACATTAGAAACCATCATGAAGCACAAAGCAAAGGCCCAGAAGATAGACCTCCTCATAAACTTTGTATGATAGCTCCTGTAGTGACAAAATTGGAACAGTCTTCAAAGAAGAGCAACAGTTCCCTTGAAAATATGAATTTTGTTGTTTCAGATGTGAAGAATGCTGCCTGTTATCTTCACTTTTCTACGTACATATGCTCCATATGTCACATTGCCTGTTGCTGCTGTAGTTGGATTCATTGGGTACAATTTGGAGGCCATCTTGTCAGATAAATATACACCATATCAAAAGAGTATAGAGGAAAAAAGGGAAGACAGATTAATGGAGGAAAATTTAAGTAAAGATGTAACAAAAGTTGACAGTTTGAAGGAGAGGAAATTTGTGCCTCGTTCAGTATTTGAGAAAAATGTTTCACCATCTTTACAAAGTAATGAAACAAAGCGATCATAGGTTTGCATTCATCCTTAATATTTGTGTGTTGTTTTTTTATACGTAGTCTATGCCTACTTCTTGAAACAGGTTAACTAAAATTTTACAAGTGAGATTTGAAAACCTGTTTTGTTTCTGGCTTGGTAATGTATAAAATGTTTGTATGGGATGTGTATCATTGTTCTGTTTAGTATAGCAAACTGTTTATATTAATTCCTAGTGTAATGTTCATTGTGCAGCATAATTACATGAAAACAATTCTGAAAGAAGATACATGTCATTATTTTTAAAAACAGTGTGTGTTGCTATGTCTTATTACAGGATGGAATCTACTGTCTGTAGGTATACAAGAATTAAATTGAAAGTGGTGTGACAGTGTGACCCAGCCCAATGGGCACAATATCTGAGGTGTTGTGCTACTGTTTTAGGCAAAATGTATCATTTGCATCTAGAGGTTGTGATTATTTATTCACATAAAATACCATAAACATGGGTTTAGTTACTATGTATGAATCGACGTTTAGGCTATATATTTCACTAATGCCTTGTGAGTGAAAACTAGAAGATATATTTATTTTTTATATAAATAATTGATTCAAAAGACAGCCTCTGTTGTATCATAAGTTTCCCCGTATACCATATTACTTTACATGTAAGATACTTTGCACTGTTCAGTTTTCTTATTGCATGGAATAGTATTTATTTTTAAATAAATCTTCCTTACTGGTTTCATGCTTATCTATGAAAAAAAAAATGTTTAAACACTGAAGCTGCCTGTTACCATTGATGCATTAAAAGGGTGGGGAGACAACACAGCAGTATGGAAATAGAAAGTTGGGTGTATTTAACAGGTAAGAAAGGATTATAGGGAATGGTAAACAACACAATATTATTGTAAAAATAAGTTTTTGCATATTGATAATTCCAGGCACTGCTCACAATGTCACTGGCTGGAGTATAGCAGTCCTGAGACGAGGTTGGTGGGTGACCATTACATGAAGCACGTTAGTCATACTGGTAAAAAGATATTACTTACTCCAGAAAGTGATGAGAATATGGTGCACTTTGATGATTTAAATCTGTTCTCTGAAATTTGATTTTATGAACTGACTGATTCTAATAACTAGTGATCACATTAAACAGTGCCTACTGTAGTTACCAGATCTCAGTGTTTGAAGTGTTTTTGTATGTACCATATAAAGGCAAACTTGGCCGCGCCATAGCCCAAGCGGTTAGTCACTGGCTTACCACCGCGGCAACCTCTGAGCAAAATTAGGCAAACTTTCCCGCCCAAGTAGTTTCCAGTTCCTCTGGTAGATGGGGAAGTATCGGGGACCACTGCCAGAGAGGTGGCCGACCTCACTGGCAGAACGGGACTGATAGCGAGCACCAGTACTGGAAGGGCATGGCAACTAGTAGAATAATTAAAGGGGGGATGCACAATAGATTAACAACTAGTCGCAGTGCATGGGGAAACACACCCCCTCCAAAATAATAATAATAAATACGACCGCGGCAGCCCGGGTCTGGTCAAGTGGGATTTGTGGTGGACAAAGTGGCGCTGGAGCAGGTTTTCTCCAAGTACTTAGGTTTCCCCTGCCAATCTTCATTCCACCAATTGCTCCACAATCACCCTCACCTGTCATCTGGGGCTGGTACAATAGGCCAGAAGTGGCCACAATGCAAGGGACTTAGTCCCACCCCACTAGCAATAAAAGAAAGGGTCTTCTTCATTNGAACCTGTAAGCCTTTTTTTTTTTAAACAATATTTATATTACTACAAAAACAACAGTATAGAATTTGACTGTTTTCAGGTATTTTATTCTTTGAAATAGGACTGCAGAGGGCCAATAAAAATGACAGTGAGCAACACCGAGTGCATACATACATACATGAACATTCTACAGTTTTACTTTTTCTAGCATGCATATACGAGTACATAGAAGGTTCATTTGGTTTTATAATTACCATGGCATGCCAATATTTTTGATTGATGGATTAATTTGAGACTCTGTATTTGCTGGTTATAGAACAAATAAAACAAAGCACCCATCAATACAAATGTAGTATAGTCATTCATTGAAAAGAAAATGCTATTGCTAGAAGAGTTTGAAAATCCTTACTAATATGGTCTTGTGTGATGAAGACAATGACTGAGATGAAGTAGACAATTTATTCCAGTCCACACCAATGTTTACGAAAACTGTACAATGTGAAGAAATCTCATTATGGAATTTATAGGTGACAACTCTGCTGATTAAAGGCATAAGAGTTTCAATGCATCTCATTCAAACAGTTTGGTAAAATTTAATGTTTAAATGTATTATGTAGGTCTCCTTGCATTCTGTGATAAAGATATGTTCATTTCACATGGCAGCATACTTAAACATTTAAATATTTCACCAGAAAGTGGCTTACCATTTTCCATTAAATTAAAAATTACATTGGCCTGTCACTGAAACAGATAACATAGAATTCAAAAGTAAAATAAGTCAATTTTGAGTTAAAAATTCAGATTATATTCAGATTAAGTATTTTATGAAAGTCACAAAGCAAATTTTTCATAACCACTATTCTATATAAATTTTTATTACGTGGTTAAAAATGTTTTCTCTGCAGAGATATTGGGTTTTGAGGCTTTATCCATCGTCCTGGTTTTAAGATAACTAAGAAAAACACGGCGTTTCGGAAACTGGATCTCTTTCCGTCCTCAGGTGAGGGAAAACACCTATTCTCTTGGGTCTCTTAGAAAGAGCTAGCCTCAATCACTGGACTAGACCCAACAGAATAGGTGTTTTCCCTCACCTGAGGACGGAAACAGATCCAGTTTCCGAAACATCATGTTTTTCTTAGTTATCTTAAAACCAGGACGATGGATGAGGTCCGAAAACCCAATATCTCTGTGTGTTATACACCATCGTCAGAATCCTATAGTAACTACATGTTTTCTCTGGTTCCTCAAAACAGTTTATGTGGGTTATTGAATTTTTCACTCCCCTCAAGTAATCTATCCAGAACTCACATTATGTCTGCTTTGAATCCAAGAGAAGATGAAACATGGTCATTCTGGAAGTAGTGTAACTTGATATAAATACAAGGTGATGGATGTAATTTAATACAAATTTGAGTCTTAAAAGTAAACCAATCAGTCCTGCCACTTCTTGGAATTCTCCTCATAATTCCTTGCTGTTGCCATAAGCAGATCAATCACAAGATTGAAACAAGTTTACTTCAATTTCCAAACAGCAAAAAACTGAAAGAGAAAAAAATAAATGAGCTACATTTCAAAGACAAGAATGATGTAAGTTTTATGATATACAGCTAGAATACAACTTTATGCTCCTGATATTGTAAAACCCACATTTAAGGTTTCCTTGGGAAGCACTAGGTTTGAACACTAAACTGAGGAAAACCTTAAATGGAGAAAACTTAACACTAAGACTGCTGACTTGGGATGAGTGAAATTGTATCTTGGATGATGGAAAACCTTTAAGTTGAGAAATATTAAATGTTCAAGGGTATAGAAACCATAGCCTTCCAACAGAGATAAATTTGGGATGTCAGCTGATAATAACAAATTGCTACATATCATATTTGGAGATCTTGGTAGTACAGAAATATTATTTACTCCAAATATGGAGAAAACCACAACTTGGTTCACTGTAGAGGTTTTTGGAGACACATACCACTCTGAAATAATGTTATAAATGAATATGGGGTCTCTGACTTCACCATTTGCAGCACACCATACACCAACATTTTGGTCATGTCATCTGACAGATACCATGTAGATTTTCAGTATCCCAGTGGCGTGCATTCTGTGAGCTATGTAACCACTCAGACAGAACCAGGCTTCATCTGTCACAGAAATACACTGAGAATCAACTATCCTGTCATAAATATTTGTGAAAAGCCAATTATAGAATTTCTCCTAAGTGAATTTGCAGGTTGAAGATGATGCACCACTTACGAAAAAAATTCAGCATTTTTGTGGCTCTAAGAATGGGTGCTTTAGAGATACTAGTTTCCTGGGACAACTAACAAAGGAGATTTTTTATTCAATTTGATTTTTGTTTGTTTCTCTTGGAGAGTTTCTAATATCAGCACATGCTTTATCTTGTCTCTTCATATCAGCTATGGACCAAGTGAATGCCACGTTTTGTACAATTTAAACACATGATTTTCTGGATACTGCCACAAAATTTAAAAACACATTAATTTTAATGTTTGCATCCTGTTATGTGAGTATAACTAATAATACAAATTCCACCGTCAACACAACTATAATTTATTAACTTTTGTTCCACTACATGTTTTGACGCGTATAGGGTCATCTTCAGGTGTTGTGATTTACATGTTTTCATTATTGAATTGTAAAGCATGTATATAGGCTTAAAATGACTACTTTCTATGGACATTTATATACTGACTGCTAGATGATGATTTAAATACAAGATATATATGAACTAAAAGTTAAAAATTAATTTAAAAGTGCCATATGCTGTATTCAGGTTAATGTCTGTTGCTGTAGTAGACCACACATCTTTTCGTTTGATTCTTCTATTATTGGCTAGATTTGTTTGTGTTTATTCTTTCTTATTACGAGTATGTTGATTGTTACTGTTGTTGTGATGTCTAGTTTATGTGGTATACTTTGCTGCATGGCCTATACTGCAGTAAGATTTCTTTCAGTGTAAGTTTTAACAAAAAACATGTCTTTATTAGTACTGTATCTCATCATGGTTCAGCACTCACAGAGAATGTGGACAACTCACTGACCACAAGATATGTCCAGTGACTGAAGAAAATAAAAGAATTAACTTGTGCATTTAGATAAAGGTGGAAGTGTAACAGCAATTTATGTTTATTTCAGTGAGTGCACTATCACGACTGTGACCACCCACTGGCTAAATGATTGTATGAACAAAGCATCACCTCTGGTGCACCCTTAGAACTAGAAGTCAACCCTTTGAAGCCTGTCAATACCTATATCGAAATTCAATTTTACTTACGGCTATTAAGCATACAGAAGTATTGTAATGTATGTAATAGTAATCCATTCACCCAACTCTGATTCTGATTTTTATTTAATATGACCAGCAATATTAAAGCCATTAAGACCCACACTATACAGAGCACAGCATATGGGTAGATGGATGAAAGAACAGAACAAAGAAAATACAGATGTTCTGTCTTCTTGGGTATAATGGCATGTAGTCTAATGAAAGTAAACTGACATTTTGGAGGACCATGTCGTGTCCATAGTCAGGGTTGAAGAATATGCAGGTGACATGCAGAGCTCTGCTTACCACTTCTTTCATGCTAGTTTCTTGCTCTGCTCATTTTTTGAACCCTGATGATGAAGGCAACATGTTCCTCTGAAACACCAGTTGACTTTCAATGGACTGCATGGCATTATATCCTAGGTGATGGGATTCATCGCAACCACTGCTGTGAGAACCTTAAAGCCTGCATAACAATTGAAAAGTTTCCTTCCTCTGAAGCCAGCCAAATGTGGTGAAGCTATGACCAAGAGGAATGTGTATCATCTCAGGAATAGTGAAATGTGTATGGCACACTTGGGATGGCTTGGAAAAACGAAAGTGAACTTGCTCCAGGGTCTCTAGAAATTTCATGTGAACTGATCTGTGATTGAACCTTTGTCTTTGCTGTGGGAAACTTACATCAGTGACACTGACTGTTTCTAGGAGCCCCTACAAATATTAACAGGATAAGTAATTGTGACTGTAGCCCTGGATGAACAACATTCTACACAAATAATATCCAGTTCTAACATTTCTTTGTGTTCTTCAACTACTGAATATAAAGACATGAGCTTACCTTAGTAAGTTCATGATTTGTTTATTCCGTCTTGCAGTGCATACACTTATCTATCTTCTTCTCTCACTTTCACTACATGTTTCGGCATAAGAATGCCATCTTCAGGTGCTACTCAATTCACGTCAAACTAGTACATTGTATGCCTTGTCTTCACTTTAAAATAACTAAAATATATGTCCATCATATATATTGACAAATGTCAATCGTAAAAATATTAAAACTGTTCAGGGTTCCCGATCGCTACGTCGTATCTTATTACGCCAGTCCTGTTCATCCTAGTCTGTTGGAGCTCTTCTTCCCTATCGTGTATATTGTGTTTCTGTTGCGTCTTGTTCTCGCGACTGCGTGCGTTATGCTGTTGGGTCTGCTGGGTATGTGTCACTTTACCTTAGTAAGCTGGGCAAAGGCTGGACCAAACTTGGCGTGCGAGGACAAAGAGGTCCTGATCCAGGTTGGAAGTGCAGCCTGTGTGTGCGTTCGGGTGTATCGCTGGTCTAGCAGCAGCACAGCAGCATAGTCATTCCTGTGTCGCACGGCCCGACCAATAGACTGGTTCACTGCTTTCATACACAAGTTCTCATAGTGCTGCATTCCAGCTGTAGGGCTCTGTGACATTCACAGTTCTTTCACTCACCCACCAGTACATTAACTACCCAGAATTTGTTTTTGCCACTGAAGTCACATATTAGTTCAAAGTAACCTATTTTGTAATTACTCTAACCATGCTGGAAGAGGGGTGCATGCAGTAGCACAGTTGGCTGAGGGACTATGCTACAAGTTGGAAGGTTACGGGTTTAATTTCCAGTGAGGTCATTGGATTTTTCAATTGACTTAATCCTTCCAGCCGTACTATGGCCAAGGGGTCAACTCTAGCGTCTAACAGAAATGAGTACCAGAAATCTTCCTGGGGGTAAAGGGTGGCCAGAGTGTAAGGCTGGCAATCTATGAGCCAACTTTCTAGAAAATGTGGGAGCCTCGATGTCTCACAACCCTATGGACCTGCACAGCATGTTACAGGGATAATTTTACCTTTATCTTTACATTGAAAAAGACAAAAGAGTTCCTTATCAGGCAAACTTAAGTGTAATGAAGTGAACTTATATTACAGCACTGATCTTTCAGTAGTTGCATATTGTGCTTCCATGAACAAATTATGAAAACAATCAATGCAAATGACTGTGAACTTCAACTTCAAAATAAAAGATGAGACAACTAAACAAACAGAATTTGTTCATGTACATGTCTGGTAAACAACAAAGAAATAATTTATTCCCCTCCTCAAAAAACCCAAAGAAATAGAGAAACCCAATTACAGTACCCTCAATGATTTTATGTCTATTTGATTTAATTGTGTGCTTTCATCTCGAAGTACAGGAGGTGAACAAAATAATGGAAACTGTTGGCTACACTGAAAGAACTGCAGCTGACAAGACTGCATGTTCTTTCATTTATGACCGTGTCAGTGCATTTGTGATTGTGCTGAATGACAGTATGTGTGAAAGAATAAGAAAATTGGAGACTTGTCCAGTTTTGAAAGAGGACATATTGGTGCATGTTTAGCTGGAGCATCTGTGACATAAACTGCCATATTATGATGTATGTATATCAAGGCCGACCATTTCTAAGGTTATGTTGGCATATATGATTCATGGGAAGGTGACATCAGCAAACAGAAACAGTGGGTGAAAATCAACACTGACAGAGATTGCTGTACACTGAGGACTCTTTTGAAAAATCACAGAATTACTGTCGTACATTAGTGAATTAAAATATACAGAACAATATTATCAAGTTGCTTATAACATTCACATACAACTTATTTAGTATGATGCTGATATATATATCAATATATAGATCAATCCTATCTAATGATAGGATTGATCCGGTTCAGGATAGGGACCAGCGGAGGGCTCTTGTGAACATGGTAATGAACCTCGGGCTCCATAAAATGCTGGGAAGCTCTTGAGTAGCTACACAATTGGCAGCTTCTCAAGAAGGGCTCAGCTCCATGAGTGAGTGAGTGATGATGCTGATATATATAACTAATGATTGTAACTGTCTGACATGGAGAAAATTTGGATTTTGATCATATTTTCAGAAAAGAATGAAACATGAAACCGTAAGAAAACCTGTTCATTAAGTGTACTGATGAACAACTAACAGACTGAAGTTAATTTTCCACGCTGCGTATTTTAAGGAATGCCTAAAACACTTCTTTATGAGGAGGCAGAGAAAAACAAAAAGGGTCAAGCTATCTCGGAAAACTGTACATCAGTAGCATTACTTCATATATGTCTGTGAGGTATGGTGGTAGCTGTCTACCTCAGTAATGAAGATAGACCGTTACTTACAACATTAGCATTGAGATAGTTCATCTTTTCTTGGAGTTCAGGTGACTTGATGTTTGGGTATGGCATGCCAACAACTATCACACAGCGACCCAAGTCATCACTGAAGTTAAGACCCTCACTCAGCTTTCCACCTGCCAGAATAGTTTATCAGTTATTTGCAAAAACATCGTTAGATTTTTCATGATATCAGGCTCTGAAGGTGTGATACACGCTGCCTTCACACAATACATCCCCTTGATACTGAATAAACAGCTTATAAATCACACTCCAAATGTCCTGAAATAAAATATTCCAGATATAAAATTACCCTCTTCAGGTGGGGACTACTTGCTGGATAATTAGCTAGTTAGTTTAGCTGCCTTGTCAATGAGTTGAATGAATGAATGAATGAATGAATGTATGTATGCCCTCTAGGTAGGTCTCCTTGGCCCTTGCACCATGACCTCAGGCCAGGTCTCCTGACAGTGTCTCCAGGTCCCAATGAGTCAGTTAGTCAGACATCCAGTTTATTAGTTGTTACATGTGAGTGAAAAAATCATGAATTTCCAGAATATTGTCTTTTTATGTTCCAAGTTGCGTGCTTTGAAAGGTGGATTAAGGGTGATGCCTTACTTTCAGGGGAACACACTCTAAAAACCTATTGGGATGCTAGGTGGAGAATGACACAACAGTCAATATTCCCTTTTACTTTTAGAATTTCAAGGAACAGAGTTCTTTATGAGAACCCTACTAAAGCCCCTCTAAATCTTTTTGGAAGATGTATCATCAGTGTGTGACAAAGAATGTTGCATCATGACTCAAAAGTTGATCCTACTTTTAGCAAACTTCCAGTATTCATACGCTAGGAGGGAAATACAACCATATTAGGTTAATACTTCTCTCATTGGAGGACAATGAGTGATATATTCTACTTTTAGCAAACTTCCAGTATTCATACGCTAGGAGGGAAATTCAACCACATTAGGTTAATACTTCGCTCATTAGAGGACAATGAGGGATATATCCTACTTTTAGCAAACTTCCAGTATTCATATGCTAGGAGGGAAATTCAACCACATTAGGTTAATACTTCCCTCATTAGAGGACAATGAGGGATATGTGGATGGTGGAAGTGTTAAGGGAATGTTCATCACTAAAAATTACTGAATTACTAGTGCCTTAATATATTGATTTAAAAGGAATACATTTCTGAAAGTAACAATTTTCAAACCAGAACTATATTACTATAATACTTCTTCTGTAATTGTCTTCCCACCATGAGACCATAGCAGATACCAGTTATGTTATTGCCAAAGTAACAAGAAAAAGAGAAGTCTGTGTAGGTGCTATATTACTGAGGAATTAACACAAATAACATACATTAGTTCTTTCATCGATGATTATTTATAACAGACATGTCTTTATAGGACCATTCTATATGTAAGGCAATTCAGACAACGCTACCAACAGATACATAAGTTCAGGCAAATAAAGCAACATTACTTTAATCTTGTACTTTTATATCTGTGACTTCCTTTGCCCGGGGGAGTTCCCTGATCTCCATTCCATGGATTGGCATTTCGCCAGTTGGTGATTTCTGCAGTTTGACACAAAATTTCACATTCACTTTCTATTCCACTGTATGCTCCATTTTCATGCATGGACAAAGCTGAGAACACACATTGATTTAACAAGCTACTGTTCAATGAATATTGAATGCAGCTTTTCCAAACTTCCCACGTGAGCTCTGTATTGTTGCATCATTGTAACAGCATTGCAGATTGCACAGCGCAATATTAAAAAATGAATCTCAAAACTGATTTGCCCAGTTGTAAATATTGTCACGTGTAGGGTGATACGTGTGATGAAAATGACGGGTTCTAGTTCAGATGATTAGCACCTTGGTTACAATTTCTCTTGATGACATTCAAATACAGCGCTATCACTGTTTACACACTTTGTAATTCACACACACTAATACTCTCCTGGTAAGGCAATTAAAACACAGGCACTAGCGCTTCAGTCACTCCAAATATTACACACAAATAAAGTCTTCTAATGAGATTTTAAATCTTAGTAGGTCAACGAAATTTCGGTGGATATCTTACACCAAGAACTCAGAACTGAAATGTAACTCCCTTTGTTTTTAAGATAACTCCTTTGCCTGGACCCCATGGAAAACAGCCTCTATTGTTGAAACGTGTTTGCTGAACCACTGCATAGCAACGGTCACAGTGCAGACTACATAGAAAACAGTCTTTCTACTGTCAAGTTTTCTTTATCGCGACATTGCTTAGAACGCTCTTGCCATCCACATCACGCTGCTCTCTCCTTAAGGCTGTTCATCTCGAATAGCCTATCAGCACATCACCATTCCTTCCTTTTGAAATTTCAGCTCATGACATCACTTTCCTGTGGCTCAGTTCCTCCATGGTGATCACTCTCCAACTGCTACATCTGCTTCCTCCTTAAGGACGCTTGTTCTGAGCAGCTCCCTATAGGGTTCAGGTTCTCACCATCATCCATTTCTTTTCTTTGGTGGGTCAAAACTGTCCCAAGTGGCTGGTGCTCCCACATTTCCGGCTTTTACTCCGTGCATGATCTCTTTTTTTGTATCGTAGGGGGCCAACCTTTCACAAGGTCCATTTCCTCATTTTCCAATACCTGCTGGACACTCCGTCTGCTCGCTTCACGAATCCCAGTTCTAGGGTCTTCTTGAGGGTCTTGTAGGCTGGTCCTCTTCTTCCCAGAGGTGACAGCTGTCTTGGAGCTTCACTCTCTGATGCCGATCATGGTTGCCCTCTTCTTTCTCATGTATTGCAGCTGCTTGCTACCTAGATCCTTTGCTCTCCCTTTTCTTTCATGATGCATCCCTAAATTCTTCATAAGCAACCTTCCTCTCTAGGTTGCTCACTCAACCTTGGCCCTGGTGCAATCCTTTCTGACGATGCCACTCCTGAGCCATGCCACTCCTACACAGCGGGTAATCCTCCTGCCGGCGATGGTTAATCTCTTCCTGGATTCATAACTTGCGTGGACCTTTGCTTCAGCTTCTGGTGGCAACCCATGGCCACATTCCAGTTCCTACACTGTATCCTCAGTCCTCCGACCATCATCACTGTGGCTTCTTCCTTAGGGACCTCCCAATGTTCCCTTCAAATCCAAGGCTTCCATCTTTTCTTCATTAGTTTTATTCAAGGCTATCATCTGTTCCAAGATGGCTGTCACATGATCAGTTGGCTCCATCTTCTCTGGATTGGCCTTCGTCACTTCTTGGCAGGCCATTCTCTTGTTTTGGGATGCCTTCAGGGAGCGAATTATGGCCTCTGTCAGGAATCTCCTGCCACTCTACTACATCCCCCTCTCCATTGCATTGTGGCTGGCCATTGTTCCCTTTCCAGGTATTCTTCATGTCCACTATCCAGGCATCCATCTTTACCTGATGTTCCACTCTTTATCTGATTGGCGTCTGTCTTATTGTGAATGGCTACCAGCCTTGTCACCAATTCTTGGTTGACTTTCTTTTCAGTCTCCCTTTGTTCTTGGTCAGCTTTCCACTAGGCCATCATCTTCGCAAAGTCGGCTTTTCTTTCAGCCTCCCTTTCTTCTTGGTCAGCTTTTGACTCAGCCATCCTCTCCTTGTAGGCTTTTCTTTCAACCTCCCTTCTCGCCATCATTTTGTTAAAGACTTTCATGTCTGCCTTCCTTTTTTCTTGGTCGGTGTCTATCTTTCCCAGTCGGTGCATGACTTGTCTTGTTGGCTTTTATGTTCTCTTCCCTTTCGGCCTACAGCCTGGTCCACAATGGTTTCACCTTTGCATAATGGTCTTGTGCCTCTTTTGGATGGGTACATATGACAGCCTCTGCTAAGCTCATCATTTCCCTTATCTGTCGCATCGTTTGTTCCATTTTCGTAGCATGACTACCCAATTCAATCTTGGATCCCATGCAATATAACTTCTTCCGCAGTTCTCGGTTGCCATGAGTTTATGGCTGCATGACTACTGACACCAGAATGTCATGTATTTACAATCACATGCCTGCGTGTGTGTGTCTGGGGGAGGGCACTTACATCATATAACTTCAAATATAAGACACACTTTTTCCATATTTTTCCCCACAGAAAATTTGAGGTGCGTCTTAAATTTGATGAATTATTCGCCATACTAAACCTTTCCAATGTTTCCCTAAAACCCTCATTTAAAAACTGGACATGTCTTAAATCTGAGGGCATCTTATATTTGAAGTGATACAGTATATATAGCAATAGTTCTTCTGAAGTGTCTTTAAATAAGTTTCCTTCTTCTGCAAGGAAAGGAAGACCTGTATTATCATTATCTGTGGGTACAGGTACTGATGCTACATAGATGGATGAGACTCACCCACAACACTGAACATGATGGCTCCACTTGATCCCGGTTCACCAATATGTGCTGCATATTCATTCAGCACATGCTCTACCATGCCAGATCTCCTTGGCTCCCGAAAAACCTGCAAAAATATGTATGTTTGTAGTCTTACATAAGGATGAGATATTAAATGTGAAAACATTCAGTATGTGACGAATTGGAGTATACACAGAAGCTACTGGAGTATTGTTTGAGGTGAGGTATTAGCAGGTTAAACCTGGGATTGTATCTTTGACTGTGAAACATCCTATCTCAGTCTCTATCAACAAATACAGTTACACTCTGAATTCAGCAAATATTTTAATCCTGCTACACTAGACATGTATATTCTTTTTACACATGAGGTTAGCTTATGTTAGTTTAGGTTAGGCTATGCCAGGCTACACGTGTAGGATATGGGGTTCTCACAGCAGTGGCTATGAAATGTATGCCATGTAGTACGTCGAACATCAACCGACATTTAGAAATGAATGAATGCATAAGGGGTGGGCCGTTGCACTGCAACCTTCAATGATCTATTTTGCTTCCCGTTTTATGATTAACCCTTTATCAATCCTACACTTTGAATGAAATTAACTTTGTTTATGGGGGCATCACAGTAGTCACTTGGTTCCATAAAGAATTGGCCCAGGTGATGAAATATAAACCATAGCTTCACAATCACATAGGATGTGTGTGGCTGATTCATTTTCTTCTAGATGCCATTCACAAGTGGGGTCATCTGTTAGTCCCAGTTTGAAAAGATGTCCATTTAGGTGACAGAGTCCTGTAAATAGTCCTACAACCCATCTTAACTGGTGTCTGTTTAATTTTAACAGATCCTTTGTTCTTCTGGCAGAGGGTCCTGATATAAATCCCTTTGCCTGCTTGAGTCCAGTTATGGATTCCCAATATCTTTTTATGCTTTCTGTTCATCCAGTCCCTGACTGCTTCCTTGGCAACTCAACTGAGATGCCGCAAGCTGGTGCAGGTCCTATGGAGGTTCAGATCCTGTTTTGCCAACTCATTTGCTGTTTCATCATCAACGATGATCAGATTTTGGTTTCCATTGATCATTGCAGTGGTCTAGAAGACTGAGATTAACAGCTGTGGGAATCCGTTATGCTGACCACGCGACACCCTCTATCAGCAAAAGTTGGCATTAACTTCGCTGACAAGTGGCGGTCACTACATCAGTATAGTATGCTTGCAGACTAAAAGCCACAGAGTGTGTTTTGATCACTGCAACACAGTCCATAATTTCCTGCCTTGGCCTCTGCTTCCACCTGCAGGTGTAGTGGGGGGAGTCCACGGTGGACTTCAATTGCAGATGTTGGAGCTGTTCTCATTGCTCCTGTAATTCCCAAGCAGGCCATCCTTTGCAATTTGCTAAGTTCTGCCTGGCTTGTTTTGAGTTTAACTCTGGGCCACCATATAGTGGCAGCATAGGTAACTACCGGTCTTATAACTGCAGTGTATATCCAGTATATCACCTTTGGTTTCAGTCCCCAAGTTTCCCCAAACATGCATCTGCATGTCCAGAAGGCCTTCTCCATCTGCTTTTTCCATGTCAGTCCAACGTACTAGACTTTGCTGAATAGGTGGATCGTTTTCCTGAAGAGGATTGGTTCCTTAAGTCCCTTCATATTCCTCTTCCTAGCAAAGGGTATAATTACCATCTTTTTTGGGTTGATAGACAAATATGTTCTTTTACACCATTTCTGGACTGTGCATAGGGCTGTTTGTAAGTTCTCTGATTCAGTCTGAAGGAATTTCCCATTAATAAGGATTGCTGTATCATCAGCATATCCTACTGTGTAATATGCATCACCATTGAGTTTCCAAAGATCGTCCATGACCAGGCTTCACAGCAAAGGCGAAAGCACATCTCCCTGCGGACACACTCTGGCTGCAAATGCTCCTGCTTTCCAGCATAGCACAGATCCATCTGCGTATTGTGGTCTCAATGCCATGCTTTTCAGCAGCATGTTTTATTATATCAAAACCAATGTTTAGAAGGATCGCCACCAACTTCAGGGTTGAACAAGCCAAGCAAAACACCAGCATGAAAGCAGGTGCCAAGGAGACTTATGGACTACATGGCATTATATCCCAGAAGGTAGTATTCTTAGGCTACAACTGTTCTTTCTATGCTTCCTTTTATGACATTGTCAGTATCTTACACTACAGAGCATTGAAAGGCAGAACAATTGGTGAACAATGAATTTTAAAACATTTGCAAGCAAGCAGTAATGGCCTAACTCAGGAATTATCCTGGCATTCACCTAGAGGGTCTGAAGAAAACAATGAAAAACCTCAATCAGCATATTCAGGGTCTTAGCTGAGATTCAAACCAGGCACCTCCTGAAAGTAAATCCAGAATGCTACCATTACTTAACCTGCTTGCTGTTATGATGTACATCCTTTGGCACTTCTTTATTCTAAATTAGTACAGAAAGCTTTAAGAATGAACAGCAAAGCAACAAAGAAGTGAAAACTACAGGAGGGTGACCATGTGTCAATCTCGGCAAACAAACGTTTTCATTTAGAAATAATTATTTCTGTATGAGTATGCATTTCTATTGATATATATTCTTTACAATGGAATTGAAAACAACAATATGGTAATAATATGATATATTTTGGTGTTATGAAACCCTGTACCCAATATGTGAATTAAAATGCTGAAATGATTCAAACACATTTATTATTAGTATGAATAAGTCAGTATCCTATAAATCCAGCCTTCTTTCCAAAGGTTTTATTAAAGTTACAAGATCTATGCAATGATCCAGAAAAGGTTGTTCATACAAATACTGGAAAACACCAGAAAGGAAGGAAAGAGCTGGCAAGACATAAAAGGGAAATACTGTGGGAAGAAGGAAGACAGTGGAGGCATTGTTCTGAAAGTTATTTAGAGGATGATTGGTATTAAAATCTTAAGATTAATTTTTTTGGAACCCTTTTATATAACATGGCAAAGATAAGAATCACTAGAATTTGAAGTGTTCACATGCTATCCATAGGTCTATTTGTATATTAGTCAATATATAGAAACTGAAGACTGAAACATAAATGCTGTCTTGGCTGTTATGACTGTGGACATTCCTCATCAAAGTAAATGACTCAGTGAACACACAGAATGTTTCAAAGCCTTCAAGAATAAGAAACCAACCTTTTTCTTCCTTTCAAGTTTTGAGATGACTCCATTCTTTGTCCAGTGCTCAGACACAAGTTTCTCATATTCATATGATGGGAAGAAGCACACAATGCCAGCAGGTATGACATTACAGACATTTACTAGAATTCTTCCCAGCTCATTCAGCTGAAAATAAATAAGTAATAGTTTCTTGGTATAAATATGTAAATTTCCAAGATTTTCAACACCAACAATAGCACTTTCATGTGGAATTAGCTCCTAACAATGCAATAATTCTTAAAATATTCAAAGTCAATGAGGAGTATAATTGACATATGGAATTCTGATAGTCACATTAGGAAGAGACGATCTGTGTATTTCGTTGCTGGATCTACTGCTAGTGGGGTGGGACTAAGTCCCTTGTACTGCGGCCACTTCTGGCCTATTGTACCATTGCTCGATCTAACTCACCATTATTAGTGTTGTGCGAGTCTGATATGAGAAGTCCAACTGCTTGCCTGAGGGGCCAGCTGCCAGTGCTATGGGCAGGATACTGTCTGGAGGAATAACATGGCCACAGGAGAATTCTGTAAGTCTTTCAACAGTTCCTCCTGCTGATAGGAACAGCTGGTCCCGGAACTCATCCAGTGGCTGCATTGTGCCCCCTGCCAACACCACTGCTCTGCGATACATATAATAAACAACTCTCTTACAGAATCCTCTTTATGATGACCTTTAGGTCCCAGCAAGACAAACTTTTATACAGAGTGGAGTCCACATTAAATGTTCACTCACATTTAGCATTCAGGTTCCGCTACAGAATTTATTTCTTTTGTTTAACCCTTTGACAACGAATGGTTACTTCAGTGTTGTGCACACATGTTAGTTCTGAAGGGCCCATCTCAAGGCATGCATGCATACAGTATATTGCAGCATTCTGTTGCACTGTGTAGATCTGACTTTGTGTTCCACTTCTTGCCATCTACGTGCAACTTCAGTTAATATTCACTCATCTTCTTCTCTTGATTGTACGCACTGTATGTCACTATATGTTTGAGCCTAACTGGCCATCACCGGGTGTACAAATTGTTGTGATGAAGGAATCTGCTGCTCTGATGTTACTTACAGTTTTGTTGGTTTGTTGAACAAAACCTTAAGTAACATCATGTATGCAGAGGCAGAATATACATAAATATGTATCTTATATCCTTGTTGCACAAACTTTTGGGGGAAAACAGTTCACTTAGTGGATTAGCAGGCATTTAAAAACCTCTGATGACCTGCCTATGGAAATTTTTCTAAACATGATGACCGGAAAGGGCTAAGGCACCATCTTACATATTCCTGTTGATAATGAAGGTTTGTACTTCTGCCATGGCTGAGCTATGTATATAATGCAGCAACTTATTTCACTTATGAGAAAAAAAAACATTTCCTTGGCACTGAACTGACCATACTATGATAGAGCCATGCTGATAAACCAAAAAAAAACAGTACAAGAAGAGTACTATTGGTGGTGGTGGTGGGGGGGGGGGAGCTGAGTGCAGTGCAATAATTTCTAAGTACAGTAGAACTTGGTTATAACGTCATCAAAGGGACCTAAAAA